AGAGAGAGAGAGAGAGAGAGAGAGAGAGAGAGAGAGAGAGAGAGAGAGAGACAGAGAGACAGAGAGACAGAGAGACACACACAGAGACATACACAGAGACAGACACACAGACAGACACACACACAGACACACACACACACACAGACACACACACACACACAGGCAAACACATGCTGACCGTCACAAAAATGAACAATTTGAAGACTAGATTACTGTAAACTATTTATCATAGCGCTTCTATTTATGCACTCAAAGAACGATGTTAAACATAGGGTAGGAATTAATGTTTTCTAAGTGGATCAATTTTTTCGGGGGGGAAAAATGTATTTGGTCGCGGGCCTAGAAAGTGTCCTGCAAAGTTCCATGTGCATTGACAAATAAATTTTAAAATGTGCTAGAAATGTTTGAACACAGTCAGACGAAAATGAACCAGCTATAGATGTACAGCGTTTTCTACAGCTAAGCGCTTCCACTCTGTCCTGCACGTCGTAGCGTAAGGTTCCAGTTCAAACCTTTCTCCACCCAGGCGTTTGTGGGTCAGAGGTACGGGCCGCGCTCGCTGCCTGACGTCATCCTGGGCGAGGAATATGACGTCATCCGCCTGGCGCTGCACACGCACAAAGGGCGGGACACGAGGAACGCGCCGTTCCTGGACACCTGCTACGTCATGGACGACAACAACATCCCGCCAGTCTACGTGCTCAAAGACCGGACCAGCCTGGTGCCTGACCTCTGTGACGTAAGCATCCTCTGAGTACATCTGTGTGACGTCAGCATCATGTCTGTTATATCTGTGACGTCAGCGTCATGTCTGTGCATCTGTGACGTCAGCATCATGTCTGTTAAGTCTGTGACGTCAGCTTCATGTTTGTACATCTGTGACGTAAGTGTGCCTGGCCTCTGTGACGTCAGCATCCTCTCAGTACATAATTCTGTGACGTCAGCGTCATATCTGTACATCTGTGTGACGTCAGCATCATGTCTGTACATCTGTGACGTCAGCAGTATGTTTATCTGTACGTCTGTGTGACGTCAGCGTCAGGCTTATCTGTACATCTGTGACGTCAGCATCATGTTTAGCTGTACATCTGTGACGTCAGCATCGTGTCTGTACACCTGTGACGTCAGCATCATGCCTGTTATATCTATGACGTCAGTGTGCCTGACCTCTGTGACGTCAGCATCGTGTCTGGCGATATATATACTATATAAATGCTTATTTATAGTAGTAGTAGTAGTAGTAGTAGTGGTAGTGGTAGTGGTAGTAGTAGTAGTAGTAGTAGTAGTAGTAGTAGTAGTAGTAGTAGTGAAGCACAAACTGAGGGAAACGTTGAACCTTAAAAAAATATAATACCCTAGAATCTCCTATACACAATATACTTTTTGTTTTTCTTTTTGTACCTGCAACTATGATGATGATGATGATGAG